AGGGGCTGCGGGTCGGGAGTGAGGGGCACCGGCAGGGCTGGGGGGGCCAGGGCCGGGCTGGCAGGGGCTGCGGGTCGGGAGTGAGGGGCACCGGCAGGGCTGGGGGGGCCAGGGCCGGGCTGGCAGGGGCTGTGGGTCGGGAGTGAGGAGCATCTTTCCTCTCCTCTCTCTCCTCCTCCCTATTAATAATTCATACCCCCTCCCCCGTCGCCGGCACTTTTCCATCTGTTCCCGTGTCCGTCCGTCCACCCGTCTGTCTCCTGCTGGGGGAGGGGAGGGGCTGGGGGGATCCTGCTGGGTTGACAAGATAAGCCCCTTAGCCTGGTAATTGCCCCTGGGGAGGTTGGGGGGGTTCTCACTGTGCAGGAATTTGGGGGAGGGGCGGCGCTCCACCCCAGAGGTGGTCGCATGGATCTCGCTCAGTGATGGTGCTTCTCCCCCAGCCAGGTGCAGGGAGCGACCCGCGGCGCCCCCCAGCCAGCGCCGCCCGGATTGAGGATGGCTCCCACGCGGGGCCAGCTGCTCCAGCTCTGGCCCCTGCTGTTCGGCCTGGCCGAGGCCCTCACCATCCCCAAGGAGTGTGAGTAGCTGGGGGGGTCGGGTCCGTCCCCCGCTTGAGCCAGAAGTGGGGCAGTCCAGGTGTCCATGGATGGTGGATCCCTCCCATTACCCTGCCATGGTACAGTCCAAGTTTCAACCCATAGCTACAATCAGCACCACGGACCGGGCTCTGGGTGTTGCAATGGGCTGTAGCTACAGTCAGCACCAGGGACAGGGCTCCGGGTGTTGCAATGGGCTGTAGCTACAGTCAGCACCAGGGACAGGGCCCCGGGTATTGCATTGGACTGAAGCTACAGTCAGCACCACGGACAGGACTCCGGGTGTTGCAATGGGCTGTAGCTACAGTCAGCACCAGGGACAGGGCCCCGGGTATTGCATTGGGCTGTAGCTACAGTCAGCACCAGGGACAGGGCCCCGGGTATTGCATTGGGCTGTAGCTACAGTCAGCACCACGGACAGGACTCTGGGTGTTGCATTGGGCTGTAGCTACAGTCAGCACCAGGGACAGGGCCCTAGGTGTTGCATTGGGCTGTAGCTACAGTCAGCACCAGGGACAGGGCTCCGGGTGTTGCAATGGGCTGTAGCTACAGGCACCACCAGGGACAGGGCTCCAGGTGTTGCATTGGGCTGTAGCTACAGTCAGCACCACGGACCGGGCTCCGGGTGTTGCATTGGGCTGTAGCTAGTCAGCACCAGGGACAGGGCTCCGGGTGTTGCATTGGGCTGTAGCTACAGGCACCACCAGGGACAGGGCTCCAGGTGTTGCAATGGGCTGTAGCTACAGTCAGCACCAGGGACAGGGCCCCAGGTGTTGCATTGGGCTGAAGATACAGTCAGCACCATGGACAGGGTTCCGGGTGTTGCATTGCGCTGTAGCTAGTCAGCACCACGGACAGGGCTCTGGGTGTTGCAATGAGCTGTAGCTACAGTCAGCACCATGGTCAGGGCTCCGGGTGTTGCATTGGGCTGAAGCTACAGTCAGCACCACGGACAGGGCTCCGGGTGTTGCAATGGGCTGTAGCTACAGTCAGCACCAGGGACAGGGCCCCGGGTATTGCATTGGGCTGTAGCTACAGTCAGCACCAGGGACAGGGCCCCGGGTATTGCATTGGGCTGTAGCTACAGGCAGCAGCACGGCACGGGCTC